TCTGCTCAGCCGCGGGACGTGCGCCTGTCCCGCGTGTGACCCCGGCGTCGCCGCGTCTGCAGGGGCCTGCTCAGCTCCGAGACGGCCCGCCTGTCGGCGCTGGCCGGGCGCTGGGAGGCGCTGCTGGCGGTGGAGGCGGAGGCGAACGGCCGGGCGCCGCCGCCGGAGGCGCAGGGCGAGCTGCGCTCGGTGACAGGCCAGGCGCGCCTGCTGATCCGCGAGCGGTTCGGCCAGTTCGAGGGCCTGGTGGACAGCGCCGAGTTCCTGCGCGGCCCGCGGCCCACCACGCTCACCGACCTGCAGGGCTTCTGGGAGATGATCTACTTCCAGGTGAGAGGACGTGGCGCGGCCGGCGGCGGTGGACGGTCACTGCGCGGCGACGGCTGTGGGCCGGGCAGAAGCCGTTGCGACATTGGGAGTGGGCTGAACACTTGTGGAGGCGTGGCCAACCGCCGACGGACCGATGGCACGTACACTACACAGCGCGTGAAGAGGTCGTTGGTGCTGGCTTCGGTGGTAAGGCTGTATTGTTGACCGGACGGTTCCTGGTGTCCTGGGTCCAAGTGGGGTAGTGCGTAGGTCTAAGCGCATGCCGCCGGGACCTCTCACAATTAGAAGGGACACGTATATGTCGTGCAGCACGATATGCGTGGCTCCCTCAAGTTTGAGAGACCTTTCGCCGCGTAATATCCTCCAGCCATACGGGCTCGCTTGATCGATATTGTCGACACTTGCTCGACACTTGCTCGTCGACACTTGCTCACCTTCGTAAGGCAGGCGCTCATGAAGAGTTAACTGCCCGAAGCTGTGCTATGTCTTTGTCGCCTTTTCTTATTTTCTTGCGGCGGGTTTATGGTACCAACTGCGTGAAGAGTCCGGTTGATCTACGTGCATGCTCCGACTGCCAGGAGTGATGGTAGTGCTCCTTAGTCGAAGCGGCGGTGGTTGCCATGGCGACGATGGCCGTGGCCGGTGCTGACGTCACCGCTACTGCTCAGGTGGAGGACGTGGACCGCAAGTTCGCTCGTCTGACGGAGCTGGAGGCGGCCGGCTGGCAGGAGGCAGCGCCCGCCTCTCCTCCAGCTCCTGCCGCCGCCGCCGCTGCCCCTGCCAAGGCGGCCAGGAAGCCGCCAGCCGCCGGCACCGCCCGCCGCCCGGCCGCCACCAAGAGGGCGGCGCCCAGTTCTGCCCTGCGCGCCGCCATGATGGGTGAGCGCCGGCCGCCGCCGCGTGGACTGTGTCCACAGAACCGTCCTGTCTGCCTGGCTGCTGCGAAGGGTGGTGTGGGCGGTTTCGCGTCTAGTCCGTCTAACGTTCGAAGGGCAGGGCCCGGAGATCAGCCGCGCTCTCGGTCCGTCAGCAGAGGTCCTGGACCCGTTCTGTGTTTCGTATTGATTCGGTGTTGCTCAAGTGCCAGGCGTGTAGCAGCCGGCGGCTGGGTGGTGACTTGCCCGCGTGTTCGGGTGGGCCGCACGCCGCGTCCCCCGCAGCTTTGTGTATGCTCAATGGCTCGTCCGTTCGCCCCATGAGCCTTGCCAACGCCGAGGCCCGGCTGCTGGCCGGCGGCGACCCCTCTGACCTGGCTGTCGTATCAACAGCCGCCCGACGTCGGATGCGGGCGGCCGAGGAGCCGACTACCGCCGCTGCCGTGGCTGAGGAGCCGCCCGTGGTCCCGGAGCCGGTCGCCGCCACCACACCGGCGCGACCGGCTGCGGCCGCCGGCCCCGACGCCGGACCGGAGCGGCAGTTCGCCGGCGGCTTCTTCACGGTGGCCACGCCTACCGCGGCGGCCAGCCCGAGTCCGGCCCCGTCCGCTGCTGAAGGTCAGTTGAGGCACGTCCGCACCGCTGGCCGTCCACAGAGGTCAAAGAGTCAGATGCATGGGTTCTGTTGCATGTGGCTGTGAAGATTGTCCTGTTGTTTCTGTTCGCTGCTTGGAGGCAGTGTGTTGTTTTGTGGGGAAGCTTGGGACACGCACGTGCTTGTTGCGTATGCCGTTGTTTGTGCCATGGTCCATCCGTCGTTGAGCGGCAGCCGGCGCCTGTACGCCGGCCCGTGCACAGCGTCAAGTGCCGGGCGGTGCCGAGTCCGTACCGACGCCGCGGGTGTGCTGGCGACAGAGGCGGCGTCGCGCCGGCAGCGGGCCGACTTGCGCCGCTCGGCGCTGCTCGGCGCCAGCCGCCGCCTGAGCGACCTCAGTCCGCTGGTGCGCGTCACGGCCGCGGCCAAGCTGGCGCTGCGGCCGCCGCCATCGCCACCGGCGCCGGCCGCCGAGCGGCCGCCGCCTCCGCACGAGATGAGCCGGCGCGCCGACACGCCCAAGGTGGCGCGCGCCTCCCGTACGTAACCGAGCGCGGCCCGGCCGACCGTGCTGGGAGTGGTGGCGTGAGTGATGACTGGGGCTCGGAGGGTGTGGGAGCTGTCGCTCTGCTGCTGTGCGCTGCGGAAAGAGCAGAGTGCGCGAGTTTCGTTGAAAGCCCGTGTTTCTGCTATGGTTCATGAAGTACATGTTTGAAAATATGTCACATTGCTGCTGGGTTTGGGTAGCGTGAATGAGCAAGTAGCATGACTTGATTTGCGTTCCGAACTCCGTGCTAGCTAGGTGCAACCAATGCTTTGTCAGTTATTTCACTGCGGCATGTTCTTGCGTGGCTGGTACATGTCACATAGGGGCCTATTTTTAGCCAGCGCGTCTGTATGCGTGACTGGGTTGCGTCATAGTGCCTGGAGGGTGACCAACAATCGGTTCCGCTCCTTTTCGGGCAGTCGGCACCTCCAGGCGTTGCACGCTTCTCTGCCACCTGTGTGTATCAGGGCGCGGTTGCCGGCGCGGTCCTGTGTTGGCCTGCCGGCGCCGCCACCCGTCCGTGGTGTTGTCGGCGTGCGGTGCCGCGCCATCGTCTGATCCCCGGCTCCGCCACGTCCGCAGGCCGCCGCTCGGCGCTGCCGCTGACTGAGCTGAACGCCAACACCGCCGAACTGCGCCAGAGTCGCCGCTCCCGGCGCCTGCCCAGCCTGCTGGGCGACTGCGGCCGGCCGAGTCCACTGGCGACAACCGGGGAGGACCTGATGACGTTCGACTCGCCGGCGCCGCGGCGCAAGTCTCGCCGGCAGACGGCGGCGGCGACCCCGGGCATTTAGAGCCGACGCCGGCTCCGGCTCCGGCTCCGGCTCCGGCTCCGGAGGCCGAGCCGCACACTCGAGACGTGTGAAGCGGGGCCGAGTGTCGACGACCTTTGGTAGCGGTGAGGGGTGAGCGATTCCAGAGGGGGACCCGTGCTGTTTGCTTAGGGGGATTGCAGGAAGCGCCCGCGGGAGATGCGTTAGCGCGCCATCGGTGTAGGCAACATGTTGGTTTAAGGCCCGTCTGGGCAGCGACAAAGCGTCACTTCCTCCTCTGTACTTTTAAGGGGTCGTGATATCTTCTTTCTCGAAATCGGTCCCTTTGGCTGCCGATGAGTCGGAACGCCGTGCGTTACATGCTGAGTTGAAACAAAGTATGGCCTGGTCGCTCGAACCCGCCTCAGGCCGCGCGGGGCTCACGTGCGCTCTCAGCCCACGTGTGGCCGCCACTCGGTCGCAAAACGTTCCATTGGCCTTCGACGATCTGCTGTGATGGACGAGCGGCCACCGGCTTACGAACAGCGAGCCAAAGGAAATGTGCCTGCACCAACGTAGTTATCACTCCACTTCCACACAATCCACTCAGTTTGACGAACCATTATCGTAGTTGAATCGATTGTAACATTTTAAATACGTGCGATGTACAGCTAGTGTGCTTGCTCATTCCGTAGCCGGGCCGGGAGCGACGCGCCAGCTGTGCAGGCGTGTGGCGAGGTAGGAGCTTCGTAGCGTGACTGTCCTTCCCGTGTACAGGCGGTTGTATGTGTTGTTCGATTCTTAACGCGCTGTCTGCCGTTCGAGCCCATCTTTGGCCGGCCGCGGCTCGATCGGTGCCGCCTGCCCCGGCGCCCACGGTTGTTCGGCGTTGGAGCGAGCGGCTAATCTGCCATCACAATGTGTCAAAGACTGTACAGAGGCCGGGCGACCGGCTCGAACCCATCTTTGGCCGGCCGCGGCTCGATCGGTGCCGCCTGCCCCGGCGCCCACGGTTGTTCGGCGTTGGAGCGAGCGGCTAATCTGCCATCACAATGTGTCAAAGACTGCACAGAGGCCGGGCGATCGGCTCGAACCGCGTCGTGCAGCGGCCCCACTAGACGGCCGCTCCCGTGTGTCTGTGTGGCTCCGCCGCTGTGGCGGATCCGTGCTTAGGAGCCAATATACTTAAGTTTCAGAACGCGACCGGCCAGGCCATGGGCAGCTGGTGGAGGAGTGCTGCGCGCGGCGGGTGTGACGCTGACCTGTAGTCATCATGACATGACCACAGCGACGTGCGCAGCGTCATGCGACGCCGCGCCGCGGTCGTGCGGGATCCACATATGGCTCGTCTCGCTCGCCAATCGCCAACAGATCTAAATACATTCGGGACGTGCGAGCTGAAGGTTTCCGCTGCCCCGCCTTCCACCCAGCCGCGGCAGCATGGCAAATCACAGTGTATTCTGCATGGCGATGGCGGCCACACCGGCGGCTCAGCGGGGTGGTGACCTGGGCTGGCCCAGCAGCCAGCCAGCGCCGGCGCTCTGCTGCCGTGCCTCGCGGGCGGGGTCTCGGGCGAGCGGGTGCGCCCGCGCCGCGTGCCCAGCGAGAGCGAGCCGCCAGGCCGTCACATCGGAACCGCAGCCGATATGGCAAGACGACCAGCCGGCGGCAGAAAGACACCACACTTTGATTTCGGTTCGTCCACCAAACCCGCGCACGGCGGCCGCTCACGCCTGCTGCCGCATGTTCCGACGCAAAACGGACGGCTCACGATCACTGCCGAAACGTTATTGTGCGAGAGAGAACAATGAAAACAGTCCCGATCCGCTTCAAGCGTGACCATGTTGCACAGTGTAAGTGTCGGCCTCTGCGAGCAGCGCAGCGACGGCGGCCGGCTCGCGTCATATGCCGAACGCCTGAGGACAGGGCACGGGCACAGGAACACAAAGGCGACAGGGCATATGACGTCTTCGTCCGCAGCCGGTTAACGAAAGTCCCTACACACTCCAATCACGTAAATCTTCAAAAAACACGCCAATCGATGATTTACCATAAAGCTCACGGCCTGCGCGGGAAAAGCGCCGCGCGGGGCCCAAAAAATGGGCTCCAGGCACCAGCGGGAGGCCAGCAGGCACAGAGCAGCGCGAAAGGCGAGGGGCCGCGGCGGCCGAGCGGCGCAGACTAGAATGGGCAGGCGCTGGGGCGGCCCGGCTGGCAGCCGGCGCGCCCCTGCGCGGACGCACGCTCCGCCGCCGCCAGGCACTCGTGGAGCGGCGCCGGGCCGCTTGAGCGGGGAGTGGCGGGCGAGGGCGGGGCGCGCCCGCTCTCGCCCGCAACCGGCCGGCGCGCGTCCGCTATGTACACCGCGCTCCGACACTGCACGACTCAGGAACTCTGTACACGCCACAACGGCCGTGGTCACCGATAAACCGGCCTCGGCGCAACAACAGGCGGTATTTCACAAATCTCGTCACGGCGGTCGTCCCACTCACCGGCCGGACGTCAAGTTCAACAGAAGCGGTACATAAGGCAGAGGGATATGTGTCGGTTCCATCAGCCGGCCACCCGCCTGGTAACCTCGGCGCACGCGCCACCCATCCGGCGCGTCGCGGCCCGACGCCTCACTCCAGCAGCCGCATCCACCGCCGCTAATATCTGCAACAAACGCCGCCGCCGAGCGGCGACTGTCCTCGATGCGCCGCTCCACGCCGCGCCGCGCCACTTTACGTCTCGCCGCGCCGGCTCACGTCGACGGAGCTGCGCGAGAGCGGCGCCGGCCCGTCCGTCTTGGTGCGCTCCAGCTCGACGCTCTGGCGCGTCTTGTTAAACGCCTCCGTCTTGACGAAGTCGACAGTCTTGTAGACGGTGCCAGTGGAGGCCTCGCGGCCGAGCGGCGTCTTGGCCGGCGAGCGCGGCGAGCCCGTCTCGCCCGTCTCGCCCAGGTCCAGGTCCAGGTACTGCACCTCGTGGAGCGGCCGTCCGCCGTCCGTGTAGTGGTACGCCTGGGCACGGACGGGCGCCGGTCAGCGCTGGCCCCCGCGGGTGGCGGGCGCTGGGGTTCGACTCACGCCAGACGTGGGGGGGGGGGGGGGGGGAGCTCGCTGACGGAAGGTGTGAAGGCATCGGCTGCTACCCCGGACCGACGTACACCCCGCTATTCTCGGGGTCTGGCCACGGGACCCAGGCGAAGGCTCCGGGATGTCTCAGACACCGAGTCAAGAGGATCAACTCCTCCCCCCTCCCCGGCATGCCGGACCATGAAGAACCCGCGTACAGGAAGGAACGCTTCTCCCTGTCAGCTTCAGGGGAATGTACCATTCGCCGCACCTTAGCTTTAACTGCTACATCATCGTCGTAACCACGGCTTGAGAAGCTTGACGCATTCCGCACTTTAGACCACTGAGTGGCATCACTTCTCAGCAATTATCAGGGGAGAGGGGAGGGGAGAGAAGGCACGAAGAAGGAAGGTCACACCCAGGCGGATCACCAACCGCGATCACTGGGACGACCAGGGGCAGATCGGCCCCCAATGGTGACAGCCGTTTGTGCGCCACTAGCCCTCCCCGGCAGCGCGGCGCCCTCCCCGGGCCGGTCGTCCCCGGGCTGAACCAGTCGCCGTACCTGCTGCTGGCTGTGCTGGGGAACGGCGGCGGGCGAGGCGGGCGGCGCCTTCTCGTCGGCGGCGCGGGACGGCGTGGGCGACGGCGCCGCCCTCTGGTGGCGTACCACCGCGCCGTGGCGGACCGGCGGCGGCGCCAGCGTCAGCACTGAAACGGCGGCCGGCGCCGGGTCAGACGCCTCCCGGCCACCCGGCTGCAGACGACACAGCACCTCCGCGCCTGCCACACCGGCCTCTGGTGAGCTGGCTGGAGCGGCAGCGGCACGGACGGCATGCCCATGCCCGACACCGGCGACAGCAGCGTGCCATCCCCGGCAGGTCCACCCTCCGGCGACAGAGGCGGAGGTGTGGCCCACCCCACCGGCCCCGCCCACACCGCAGCAGCGCACGCCGTCTTCCGGCCATTGCCGTGCCAGACCGGACGGCCCGGCCGCCGCGGCTCCCCGGCTGCACGTACCCTGGCCGTGGGCGGAGGCGGCGCGCGCCGGCTTCAGGGCGCGGTCGACGGCGGGCGGCGCCGAGCCGGGCGTGCTGCCCGGGGTGGTGCAGGAGGAGGCGGCCGACACGGACGGCGCCGGCTCGCTGCCAGCCGACGCCGGCTCGCTCGTCTGCCGGCCGCGCACGGGTCACGGTCACCGCTCGGGGACGGGAACGCTCGGTCAGAACGGCGGCAGCACACTCACGCGGACTGGCTACGACAGCGGCGGCGCACGTCAAAGCATTTCTGGTCATTCTGTCATTGCTAAGAGGGCAGAAACAAACTGACTCCACTGTAACTCATGCAATTTTCGACTGCCATGTCTATACCCCCACCGCCACCGAAAAAAGAAATGACATGTCTCAGGAATTTGTTTCTTGCGTACAGTCCGAGCAATCGCGACTGACGCAGAACAGCATCGACCCTCCGTCGTCAGCCGGCACAGCAAGCCTCCGGCGCGACCGTCCGCTGTGCGCGCTCGCGGCGCGCCGACCAACCGCGCCGTCGTCTTACCTTTCGCGGCTTGAGCGTCCGGTTGACGACGGGTGCCGGCGGCGGCCGCTCCGAGAAGTCGTAGTTAAATATCTGGCCGGGCGCAGCGCCGGCGTAGCAGTTGCGGCGCCGGCCGCTGGTGCGGTCCAGCGGCCGCGGGAAGTCGTACATGTCGTCGGCCGGCACGGTGGTGGGCGTGCGCGGCGTGGCCGACTCGGTGTCCGAGAGGCGCGGCGAGCGCAGCTCCTCGAAGTTCTGGTAGTTGTGCGTGGAGGCCGCCTCCTGGCCCTGGTGCGGCGAGACCGTGCTGGGCGTCAGCGACCGGCGAAGTGCCTTGCTGCCCTGGGGCAGTTTTTTGGTGCATGCCGCTGGGCTACGATCATCGGCGTTACCAGTCTAGTGATGGCGGACCTGAGTGAGCTGCTCGCCGTCTACCGTGGGAGCGGGCGAGAGAAGCAGCCATCCCGAACCGGGCAGGTCAGGCCATCTCGGTCAGACAGCACTACGGTCACGCTGTTTCAATATTCAGATCAGAGAAGCCGGCCCCGCCATGACGTCCGGGCACTTCTGCCGGCGTGACCGCGAGAACGAACGTGTCCGGCCCGACCGCTGGGGCGGCGCTGCTTCCAGCGCTCACGGCGCTGACCGTCAGGTCAAGTGGACAATCACGCGGGCTGGCAGAGACAGTGGCGTGACCGGGCCGCCGAGGGCGCGCGGTGCCTCGCAGGCGACGGGCGCATCACACCGGCCCGTCACCAAGACACGGGCGCGCGGCACGGCTGGACTGACCGGAGCGCACGGCTGTCGTGGCGGGGTACCGACGACAGCCCGCTGGCGCGGCGGCGAGCCACGCCGACCCACAAGACAGCCCTCCAGACGCGTCCCGCTCCGCCCCGGACAGCCGGGGAGCGTCTGACGCTTCTGGGACACTGTGCACCCGCCCCCAGCAGTAGGGAGTGGTGGAGGGGAGGGGCGGGGCCCGTGCAGAGTGCGCCCCTCACCTGTAGATGGGGCGGCTTGGGCGGCCGCGGCGGTCCCTGCTTGAGCTGCTCGGCCTTGTTGACGCCGCCCTTGACCGTCTCCGGCATGCTGTTGCTCCGCGTGTGCTGAGACTGGCCAGGGTACGTCTCCCAGTTGACCTGCCCGCCGGCGCCAGCGGTGAGCGCGCGTCCAGACAGGGTTATCCAGCACCGAGCTGAACGCATCGTAAAGCGACGGGCCTGACAGCCGGTGGGCTGCAGCCAACGTAATCGGGCGCTTGGCACCATAGTGGCATCAGTCACACGTCTGACTCGTTATCTCTCAGTTTTGCACCTCGATGCTTACTCCCTGCGCCACTACATCTGGTACGTCAGAGTAGAGGAATGCAAGTTCTAGAGCTGATGGACACATACGTTGCGCCAAGTTCACAGCATCCATGCGGACACTCCACCTTAACGGCATGATTTCATCGCCCGCCATGCACCACTTCCGCCACGGGCGCCACTCCCACAGCGGCGGCGAGCGCCCTGACCTGTGGTGGCGGCGAGACGGCAGCAGCAGCAGCGGCAGCAGCAGCAGCAGTGGCGGCGGCGGCAGCGGCAGCAGCGGCGGCAGCGGCGGGCGGCTCGGCGCCGGCGGCCGGCCGCAGAGCGTCGTACGCCAGGTCGGAGACGTCGGTTGCCGCGACGCGTGACGGGCCGGCGGCGGCCCGAGAACGGGCGTGTCGACACGGCCGCCTTGGCCGGCGCCGGCCCGGCGCCCGGCGACGGCTCCGGCGGGCCCAGCGGCGGCCCGCTCAGGCACTCACTGATCGGGATGTACGGGCCCGACACGCTGCTCGGCGACGACGGCGAGACGGGCGGCGAGTCCGAGTCGTCCGCCTCGCTGCCGGCGTCGGCGGCGCGCGGCAGCGGGCTCGAGTCGGGCGCCGGCGGCGGCGCCGAACCTGCACACGGAGGAGGAGACCGTCACCTGAGTGGCGCGGGGGAAACATACGACAGTGTCGAGCCTGCACACGGAGGAGGAGAACGTCACCTGAGGGGCGCGGGGGAAACATACGACAGTGTCGAGCCTGCACACGGAGGAGGAGAACGTCACCTGAGGGGCGCGGGGGAAACATACGACAGTGTCGAGCCTGCACACGGAGGAGGAGAACGTCACCTGAGGGGCGCGGGGGAAACATACGACAGTGTCGAGCCTGCACACGGAGAACGTCACCTGAGGGGCGCGGGGGGGGGGGAACATAAGACAGTGTCGAGCCTGCACACGGAGGAGGAGAACGTCACCTGAGGGGCGCGGGGGAAACAGACGACAGCGCCGAGGCTAATGACGAAGGAAGGCGAGAGATCACAAACACCGCACTCCGGCGACAAAGACGGTCCGCCGGCTGAGAGGCACGGGGGCGGGAGATTGCACCCAAACAACGGCGTGGAGCCTACTGATAAGAGGTAACGGCGGCGACACTGGGCGATGTGAATCACCGCGGTGCGAACGGGTGCCAGACACGGACACGGACGGGCGCCAGGCACGGACACGGACGGATGTCAGGCACGGACACGGACGGGTGCCAGGCACGGACACGGACGGGTGCCAGGCACGGACACGGACGGGTGCCAGACACGGACACGGACGGGTGCCAGGCACGGACACGGACGGGTGCCAGGCACGGACACGGACGGGTGCCAGGCACGGACACGGACGGGTGCCAGGCACGGACACGGACGGGTGCCAGACACGGACACGGACGGGTGCCAGGCACGGACACGGGCGGGTGGCAGACACGGACACGGACACGGACGGGTGTCAGATACGGACACGGACGAGTGCCAGACACGGACACGGACGGGCGCCAGGCACGGACACAGACGGGTGCCAGACACAGACACGGGCGGGTGCCAGACACGGACACGGACGGGTGCCAGGTAGGGATACAGACGGGTGCCAGACACGGACACGGACGGGTGCCAGGCACGGACACGGACGGATGTCAGGCACGGACACGGACGGGTGCCAGGCACGGACACGGACGGGTGCCAGGCACGGACACGGACGGGTGCCAGACACGGACACGGACGGGTGCCAGGCACGGACACGGGCGGGTGGCAGACACGGACACGGACACGGACGGGTGTCAGATACGGACACGGACGGGTGCCAGACACGGACACGGACGGGTGCCAGGCACGGACACGGACGGATGCCAGGCACGGACACGGACGGATGTCAGGCACGGACACGGACGGGTGCCAGGCACGGACACGGACGGGTGCCAGACACGGACACGGACGGGTGCCCCTTGCCTCAGAAGAACTGCGGCAGGCAGAATTGGGCTGGCACTGGCATTGCATTAACCTCGCAAAGATAGGTGAGATCTCCCATCAAATGGTGTAGCTATCTTTCGAATCTTCAACCAGACACGTTTCCATGGACGTCTTTCTTTGTACGCGCGTCCCCGTTCAATGCAGATCTCAATGCTGATAACGAGTAAGTTACCTGTTGGGTGATTGTACACCCGAAGCTGTTTCGGTCAATAGATTACGCAGCACTGACATTCCTTAGAGGCAGCATGATACACGAACCATATCAAATGCCAGAGTGAATCACAACTGACTGTTCACATTTGGTACGCACTCGCACTCAGATTGAGCTACATAAAGTCGAACCTGGGCTTAATTTTCTCAAATCCCACCAGCCAATTTTCGTCGACATCCACCATAACTGTACGAGGAAGGCACTGCCACTGCCACGGGCTTCCGTCACCGGCTGACGCAAGATGGCAGCACGTAAGCAAACAACATGTCTGCGTGCAATGCGGATAGGGCCGTGGGCTGGGCTTGGTCCGTGTCAGAAGGCTGTGTGGCCACACCCGCTCCACACTACAACCCTCTAATGTGGCCACGACCTGTGCACCAAACGCGTATTGAAGAGGGCTCAGCCAAGCTGGCCGAACCTGCATTATACCAGCCTGAATGGTCTTCAGGGCACCGAGCTGCTATGGTGAAAATAACCGACCTTAAACGTACGAAGGAGTATTGGTAAAAGCAGACGTCCGGAATTAACTGAAATCTATTTTGAGCGGAATCGGCAATTCCAGCGGAGTTCATCACCATGGACACGTCGAAGAATTTAAAATATAGCTAATTGTTTAGCGTCCTTCAGCCAGCACCTACTGACATCTAACGTTGGTAAATTTTAGTACAAATAGAACACACAAACGTCCCGACCAAAGCTCGAAACGGAAGGCGATCTTGCGAAAACGGATGCATAAGCAGTCAGGAAACAGCAGAAATTGATGTCACCCGCAATTTAGCTGCTGAAGGTACATAAGTCCCGGGTGTTTGCCTGGCCCGTGCCCCGGATGGTATCGCCCCGGACCTGTGTTTTGTTAAACCCCAGTGTTTATCGTCCTGTGGCGCCTGAACACCGCCACCGGACGATAAACACTGCTGGCGGCCCGTGCCTGGCTGGTATCGTCCCGGGAAGCGCCTGAACACCGCCACAGGACGATAAACACTGCTGGCGGCCCGTGCCTGGCTGGTATCGCCCCGGGAAGCACCTGAACACCGCCACCGGACGATAAACACTGCTGGTGGCCCGTGCCTGGCTGGTATCGCCCCGGGAAGCACCTGAACACCGCCACCGGACGATAAACACTGCTGGTGGCCCGTGCCTGGCTGGTATCGCCCCGGGAAGCGCCTGAACACGCCACCGGACGATAAACGCTGCTGGCGAACACCGCCACCACCAGATAACGTTACAGCTTCATCTGTCCCCCTCTGTACAACGCCACCACCAGACAACGTTACAGCTTCCTCTGTCCCCCTCTGTCACTGCCTGTCCTAAGTGCCCATCACTCGAGTATGAGCCCGCGGCGACAATGAATACTAGGCTCAAATACAACGATGCTACCACCTCAGTGATCCAGACGTCGCCTCGCGAGGAAGGGATCGACCGTCCCAAAGCCCGGCCAGCACGCGGGCCACCCAGCGGGCGTGACAAACGAAGTCCCCATCCGTCGCGCGCCGTCCTGCCCGCCACCGCACGCTCACCGTCGTCATTGCCGTCGCGCGGATAGACCTTGAGGCCGCAGACGCGGCAGATGCAGTCCACCCAGCGCTCCATCAGCGCCTTTGACTCGGCCGCCAGGTAGAAGGTGCGCTTGGGCGTGCGGATGTCGAACATGAAGTCGTACTGGTGCTTGCGCGAGTCCAGCGTCAGGCCGGCGTCCACCTGCCGACGAGGACCCGGGTGTCAGCGGTGCCGGGGGCGGGGTGTCTGCCAGCAGGTCCACAGCGCTGGTCAGCTCGGCCGGTTCAGACGGGATGGGCGTCAGCCAGGTCAGGGACTAAGCCGGATCAGGAAGCTCAGCCAGGTCCTGAGACTCAGTCAGGTCAGGAGTCTCAGCCAGGTCAGAAGTTTCCCCCAGGTCAAGTGTCTCAGTCAGGTCCGGGGATCAGCCAGGTCAGGATTCTCAGTCAGATCGGGGTGTCCTGGACCAGGAGTCTGGATCAGGCCACCGGTCGGGCGTATTTACCAGGCCAAAAGACGCGCGGATATCCGACACCAGGCTGGCGAGCTGCGCCGCAGACAAGATGAGTATGTCATTCCACCAGAGACTCGCATGCCAAGGTACGAGTCACTCTCACGCAGCCGCGTTTTGCCTGTGGTCAGTCACGGCTGTGCTGTTCAGCTGGCGGCTGCCGCCCTCGGTTTGAGACAGCGCGGTCTGTGCAAACAGCGCTATTCAATGTCCAGATGCAACAAAAGGTACTGACCACATTCCATGAGCAGATATGACCGGTTCGCCATGAACAGATTCTGAAGCTCGAGATCTACGCGATTGCAAATGCATTCAGCTGTACAAAACCTCAACGATCGTACGGTAATGGGCGCCAACATCCACTGCGGTGAAGACGCCCTTAAAACCCAACTACTACTACTAAATTGTCCAGCAACTGCATTGCAGCCACTCACCAGGCTGGTGTTCCGAAAACAAGCCGTCTGTGCACCCAAACCAAGGCACGGCGCGCCGTCTCGTGAGCATACGTTTAAATCCCGTCCATCGGTGCGCCGTCCATGCCCTGCATCGTTATCTCGGTATCCGGGTGCGTGCGGACCCTTACCGTCCGCGCCGGCCGCCGCCGCCGGGCGGGCTCCGCTCCCCAGCGGCGGCGCCGCCGTCAGCCGCGTGCCTCGGCGACCGCAGCCCCGCCCCGCTGGCCCGACCGCCCGTCGCCAATCATCGCGCCGGCCGGGCCGGCCGCCGCCAAATCTCGCCGGCGCGCACGGAGGAAAAACGGCACCCGGCAGCATGGGAGCGCGCCGGGCGCGTCACGGACCGCGCGCTGCCGCAGCTGGGAGCAGCCGGGCGCGTCACCGATGGCACACTGCCGCAGCTGGGAGCGCGCCGGGCGCGTCACGGACGTCGCGCTGCCGCGGCTGGGAGCGGCGGCCGCCGCCGCCGGAGCGTCACTCACCTGCTCGCACTGGTCCAGCTCGATCTTGCCCTTGAGCTTGCGCTTGCTCTCGTCGCTGAAGTATTCGAGCACGTACTGCGCGGGCAGCGCGCCGGAACGGCGCAGCAGGAAGTAGCGCCGCCGCCACTTCTGCAACGGGGTCCGCGTCGGAGTCATGCGGCGGCCGGAGACGCGGCGGCGGCCTGCGTCACACGGTCGGGAGGCCCAGCGGCGGGACGGACCTTGGGACGGTCCCGCGACGGGCGACAGGCATCAGGTCAGGACCCGGGAAGACGGCAGAGACCTACCGGGACACACTGCAAACCGCGTTCCGGTTTTCCCGCATCACGATGGCATAACGCATCGGGCATTAACGGCAAATACGGTGCGCTGCAGCTGCGGCCGGAAAATGACCAGAAGATAACAATATCCTCACGATATTAACCGCGGTGTTTATAATATTGTGACATCATGACATTACCAATATTGTGGCACGCATTATAAATATAATTTCCGAAACCCCTGTTGTACTGCGATGGCATCACTGGAGGCAGGGATTAGGCAAACAATAGCCTAACACGTGCTCACATGAACACGAGCTAAAACATCACATCGCCGAGCCTCCGACGTAAACCCCCTGCTCGCCCATCGGTCGTCTGATAACTTGACATCCCACCTCGACCAATGACAAGCCCGACCCGTTCAGCCCGTTGGCGCGACACGCCTGTCGGCCGGCCGACCGACGGGCCCGCCCTCCGTGGCCGGTCGGCCGAGCCGCGGCGCCGGCAAAGTCGGAGCCCGGGGGCGACGGCGCCGCGACGCGCGGTCCACATTCCCATCGGCAGGCGGGCCGTGCACGGTCGAGGCGCGCCCCGGCGGCGGCGGCGGCTGTTGACCTGCGGCGCCAGCCGGCCGCGGCGACGCCCGCCGCTTACAACACCACCAGGAATAGGCGGCGCCGGCACTGAATCAGAGCCGATCGAGGCGGTCGGACGTGGATGCGGTGATCGGCCGGCGGCAGTACGCTGCCGGCGCCTGCCGCCCTGCGCCCCGTGGGAGACGCCCTCCGGCCAGGCTCCGCTCCACACTGACGCCGCAGCGTCCGCGTGCCCTACAGAGCCTATCCATCTCCCGCGAACGTTCTCGACGGCGCGGCGCCGGCGCGCGCGCGGCCGTCGCGGCCACTTAAAATTCATACCGATCACCGCTCAGCTTTCTCTCGAAACACGATCTCACCGGCCGGCCACCCATCGGCGCGCCGCCGGCGGCCGCGACCCAGAGCCGATCGAAGCGGCTCGGCGCGGCCGCGCGCCCCACGCGCGGTCGGGCCCGGCGCCGCCGTGACCGCGGCGGGCGCGTGTCTGACCAGGCGACGCGGTGCGGTGAGTCACGATCGACCGAGCGGCGGTGATCGGTGCTAGTGGCGGCGATCGGCGCCGCCGGACGGCCGCCGCCGCTCTTGCCGTCGCGGCGCGGCTGTCCCGCTGCGGCCAGCGCCGGCCGGCCACTGGCCGGACACGCCAGCAGGGTTAGCGGCGGCAGCGGCCACGCCCTGCTCCGGCAGCCCCCTCCCCTTCCCCCTGGCCCCTGCCATCCAGGGTTGGGCGCTTGACGCTGGTGCAGCAACCTCTAGGATTATTCACGTACGGTAACGTAACGTGCAAGGAGGGGGAGCGTGGAGAGGGGAGAGAGGGCAGCGGCCATGGAGCCGAGTGTGTTGCTCGGGGTTCCCCAGACTGGTATTGGCGATCACGAGACGGGAAATTTCCCGTCTCGTGAGCTATCTTTCAAGTGCCATTCGAGTCTGGGAGGTCGGGTACCGGCCAACACGCTTCGCACATTGACTCGGTGGACGAAATGAAAACCGAATTTCCGCGAAAGGAACTAGTCAGTAAAGTATTGATGGACGTGTTTGTGGGGACGTATCAGAACTCATTAGTGCCGAAGGAGTTGCACTATCACATGGGAGGAATTGTCTTCCGGTTCGACGTCAACGATGACGACTACCCATTCGCAACTAAACCAACACGAAGTAGCTATTGCATAGACATCACCGATTAGTCATGCTAACTTTCACACCTTGCCATCTTGGTTTTTGACAACACGGCGATGTTTTACCGCGCTGTTTAGAAATTCTAATCGATTGACGTCAATCAAGGTCTGAATGGACGACTGTTAGAACACGTGGGCAGCAGCAAACGGCCAGCTCAACCTCGATGCAACAGTGAGTTTCATCGGCATACATGTGAAATTTTCGTGGTCGCAAATAGTCGTAACGTCATGCGTGCATGCGTATTACAGATATACGTACCTGCGTACTCGAACCCCCGCACCTGGGGAGGCTTCTACCCATACTGGCGTTCATATACAGCTGCAATCTAGACACGTGGTACGGAATGCATCTCAAAACGCAAACCAATGCCGGATGGGAGACGCTGACATTTCTTAGCTCGGAGACGACTGTGGTCCGACTGAGATTAACGACATGATTTTGTGACGTTTTCCGTTATTATCGGCTGTGCATGGGCTGATTTCGATGTCCACATTCTCTTCGTAGGCTAATGCACTGCTAGGTCGTCATGCAGGCAGCCGCCGCACAGGAGCAGCACGCCCGACAAAACAGGCCAGGCACTGGTCCGGGTCGTCTGCGCTTTTCACACGGCGCGCCCGATGGTATGCAACCTCGAGCATCCGCTCAGACGGACTGCGAACCAGTCTCCAAGGCACCGGGCTTCACAACCCACAGCGAGCCCACCGCCTGGAGGAGCGCATCACTTCAGTGAAGCTGTTCAAGCGGATCACCGGTCAGAAAATCCACACGCGCTTCTGATCTCGTCACCAGAGGACTCTGTTTGACGGACGTACTGCACACAACGTTTGATCGAGATGAATCGATGCCAGATGTGCTCCAAAAAGGCCGAGTAAACGGTCTAGCCGTGATGCGACACCCCGCCTTTCCAGCGATTTTCTTGGAGGATACTCCTGGAGCGTTCAAAAGTACAGCTGTCGGAATAGATGCATTGGTGAAGTTTGGCCGTCCACTGGAAGGATCAGAGCCCTTCTACAAGCCACCAACAACGTATAAACAAATCCAAGTAACAGTGACCTGACCACGTGATTAAGAAGAATCTCCGACGTGAGTGACGTTAGCCCAAGGCTGGCTAGCCACAGCAGAAAACAGCGATAGCGCGAATCGAAGATCAAACAGTCGTCGGCGTACAGCAGGCGCCAGGGAGCGAGCGGAGCGGACCACGCAGGGCGCCCCCCGGCCGGGGCAGCTCGGCCGGTCACGGCGCGGCTGACGGGTGCCAGAGCCAGCGCCAGCGCCACGCTCCCGCTCACCCTGGCGTCAGGCCCCAGACAAGGTTCCGGGGGGCAGCGGCGGAGGGCCGCTCGCCGCCGCAGCACGTGCCCGCCCGGCCCGTTCGCCGACGCGGGCCGGCCGGTGCCGCGCGCCACCGGAGGCGCCTCGCATCCAGCGGCAGCGACCGGTGTCAGCCGGCGCGGCCTCAGGTGGGCGGGGGCCGGCACCGCGCCGCCCCGCAGACCGGTGGCCGAGGCAGGCCGGGCACGCCACCCCACCAGAGCATTCCTGGGGCTCTGATCGGCACGCTACCGGCTCGGGAAGATTATTGATGGACGCGCCCAATGTCATCAGACGGGCGGGGGGGGGGGGGGGGGACGTCATGACGTGACAAGTGCTGATGACAGACCGGACGGCTGACCAGCCCTCAGCCCTCAGCCCTATGCCCTCAGCTGTTAACCGCACGCCGGAGCTACTGACGCCGGCTGAGGCTTTCCCAAGGCACCTGCCGATTTAAACATGAAATAACCGGTACATATGCTCCGAATGGCTTCATTCGCAGCGTACTCGCCGTGTTTGAGACGTACGGGCTGGGAGCAGGGTCCGAGCCGGGCAGCGCGCGCTTTTTTACCCACGACACCGCCGCTCAAGGACTTCCGAGAAAAGGAGTTATCTTACCATGCGTGCTAAGCCGGGTGGCGCCTCGGGATCTTTAGCACGCCGTCAAGCCTAAACCCACGCCAATGGTAGGTGCTCTTTGCCCCTTCTGTAGATAGGATGGACCTCCTCCAAAGACAAAAGCCCACAACATGTTTTCCAAGAGGAAGGATCGGCAGACAAAGCTTGCACACGTGTAACTATGCATACTATTCAACAGCCATGCCACCCAACACAGGCCAAAGAGGGCTGAATTCGTGGCGCGGAACGGAGCATGCTGCCGTCGCGTGCAACGCCAGCTTCGTGATGATGGCACCGTGCCAGCACTACCTTTGCGATGACGGTGAGGAGACGGGAGCAGAACAGACCTCATATAATTTGATCTCAGTACTTCGAACAGAAGAAGACATCAGTACTATTCATCACAGTAGATACTTTCAATATTTGCCTACTTAGAAGAGCGAATCGATCGTCGCCCACGTTTACACTTCTTACATGCATGCATTGTGGGACTGCGGTTTTTATACGAAGTTTATTCCCATATACTGTCTGTTATATACTAAAACTTCAGTTACTTTTGGTCAGAGAGGCTGTTATCTGCCTAGAAAATTGCGACAGGGAAAACCAGCCGGCTATTGGCTGTATGCCAAGCATCGGGGCCGCACGTGCAGCCCTTTGCCCTTTTGAGCTTGGAAACCTTTGGTGAATGGGGATTTCCTATCAGAGCAAATTCTTAAAAACGTTATAATGCTGCCCGCAGGTAACATTCGCTGCAAGAACGGGCTACGTCTCATCAAACGAAGCTCCCGAAATGCTGCTTTCATGAATGACATGGTATAATCCAACGGCTGACGTAAATGCATCTGCAAAACAAATGACAATTATGTAAGTTGTTAAGCACATTCGTGAGGAACATCATTTACATAGGTAAGACAAGTAGCAATAACCTTATTCCTTACAGAACAATAATGATAAAAATATGACAAACATCTCCATTCTCCTGGTTTCTTACCAAGGAATAAGACTATACAAATATAACAAATATCTCCATTCTCCTGGTTTCTTTCTAACGAATAAGGCTATCACTACTGTCTCATCTATGAAAACAAATGACAAGTTTAACTCTGCCGCGATAAACTTTTCTTCCTGTCATCAGTGATGCATCATTCTAAGTCACAGGGCTACCCTGGTGCAACTGTGGGAATGCACTGGTGTACGCGGCAATTTTTCCTTCGCCCAACACTTGGAGACTTACTTGACCAGCACTTGACTCATATAACCAGGCTACATGTTGAAGCTGGCTGTGCAGAAATTACAATAGCTGGATCCTAAAGCCCTTTGCTAGCAGGACTCTGACACAAACTGTCCTACCAACACCAAGATCTAGACATATTAGCATGTATCTTGTGACCAATAGCGACAAGGACCTGTTGTTTTAGAACACTTGCAACCAAGGACTTGCAAGTGTTGCAAGCATTTGCAATCCTTAAACTGAAAAGAGCAGGTTCTGTCCTGTAGGAAAAACTTGGTTAACACCACCAGGAGACCAAACTTCGAGAAAAATGCAAAGTAACAGCCTGTCACATAAAAGGCACCATGCTTCACAGAAAACCAAGGACCTCCACTGGGATTTCTCAACAGCACTGACCGCTCTGGGGAAACGTTTCTGCGGTGGTGACTTGATGAGCCAGCCCTCGTTGACCACCTCGGCCTCCTCCATGCCGGCGGCCGGGCTCAGCGCCGCCGGCGATGGCACCAGGTCAAGGTGCATGCCTCGTCCTGCCAGTCAGAGATCAGTGTCACCTGACTTGAGTGCTAGGTGACCCTGTGGATTGGCCTCAGGCTCTAGAGCCCCACTGCCTTTTGGTGGTTTACTAACAGGTGCATGAGAAGCCAACTGACCAACAGGCATTGGTTCTCACAAATGTGATGCCTCACAGTGCACTACAATTGACAGTACTTCAAAGTTCAGTAGCCACTTCCAGACTTCATGAGACAAGAAAAGTGGAAAATACCCAGCAAGGACATATGTATGATTTTACACTGAGGAAAAGGGGGGCACAACTCAAAATTTGTGCTGAAAAACACTTGTAGCCTGCTGCAAGTGCAAAGCATTTAATGAGCTGCATATAATAGCATCACATATTTTCAGGCATACATTTTTTGTATGTCTACTCTGACTTTCTAACTGTTGATATTTTGTCTATGCATACTCTCCATGCAAACATTTGATGGAGGTGGGGGGGGGGGGCAGGACGAGCATACTGTTCCTCTGGATATGACCCTGATGCAAGGAAGGAAGCCAATGCAGCACAAGTTTCACTGTCCTGCTTCCAGAGTCAATATAATTTTGGCTGATATAAAAGACAAGTTTAACGACAGTTGAAAACTTGTTTCATGTCATGGTGTAAATGGATACATCATGCTAGGTTTCAAGCACAGGTCCTGTCTTTCTATGTTGGGTCTCTAGCAAAGATTGGCAGCATGGAACATGTAGTAAGATGGATAAACGTAAAAGAACATGTCTTTGAAATGCATCTTGGATCCAACAGGAATATCCACATGTGTGATTGGGAGCAGACATGAACCACAAGACCCAGATTACACAATCTGGACCACATGATCTGGATCACAATATCCACACCTGCAAGTGAATATAAACAAACTATGCATACTTATATCAATTATATCAATAGAATGTTAAGGTAAGAAAAGCTGAGCATTCAAAGCTTCGGATAATAACCCTTTCAGGGCCCCAGAGCAGCAATTCAGAAGAAATGGACATCAGTGTGTTTATCTAAGTTACAAACTCATTCCACAATTCATCACCATTTATATATTTGTTTAAGAAAGAACCTTTGCATGTGCTATCAATCTTTTACTTTGATCCATTCAAGAAAATGATTTTAAAAAAATGTTTTCAGGGTTATTGACACTGTGTTCCAGCTATATACTTTAAGATTAACAAGTGTGATAAGCAATGGTATTAAGATATTTACAGTGTATGGTCATACCAAAAGCAAGCCATCATTCTTTAGCATTTCAAACAGCTTTAGCTTGAAGCAAAGCAATGCCCTATATTTACAAACTGACCCAATTTTAATCAAAAGTTATCATAGATATTATGGACAGTTGAGGGTTATCATGAAACTTAAATGGGCAAAGAATTAAAAGTTATCATGCAAGATGACCAAAGTTGCAGTTAAAAATTATCATAGTTACACAGCATAGTATATTGAAAGCATATACATATAAATATATATATATATATATATATATATATATATATATATATATATATACATACATATATATATATATATATATAGTTACTGTTATTTTTACTAGTATAAATGTGAACCAGCCAGCATTAATGCCATGCACACGGTGCCTGTCTCTCCCAGCCATACGCAGTCCTGAAATACAAAATGACACAACACCTGTCCCCTTTTGCAAAGGTGGTAGGCATTACTTGCTTCATGTTAAATTTCTCAGAAATATGCATATGGGCATTGCAGTTGGCACATCATGTAATAGCTCAGTTTCTGGGCAAGGTAATTTACAACTAATTTTTACAAACAAGAACCAGCTCATTAAATTCCAACCTCTTTGAAAAAAATATTTTATGTTAAAGGACACACCATAAATTGATTGTAGCAGCCTAGGATGTTCTTCTATATTTCCATCTCTACAATAGTCTGCTCTTGAGGCTACTCCACACAATACACCTATCAGACTGCACATATTCTGAGACTACTTACCAATTCTCGCATTTGTAAGCATATAAAACTATGCCCCCATTCAGACCACAGATTGTAAATGAACTTCCCAATGTCAGGGCAGATCTGAGACAAAATCTCCAGTGATCACTAAAAATCCAAGCATTCAATGCTGAGAAATTGAACTGAGTTACTCACAAATTATAAACCACTACTGCGGTTCCTGATTAATCGAATGAAAAACGCCAGCCCGGCCACCACCAAACGTCGACGGCCAACACGGGTTCCGACTGATCAAGTACTATCATATCGAAGTTGTCCAGTGTGATTGTGAAATAATTTGTTTACTTCCGTGCAACCTTGAGATGAGCGTCATGGAATTCCATGCGTTTTCTCGGTGATGTTGAAGATTTGGTACTGACATTAGTCTACCCACAATCGGTTTGACTATCCCTGGGTTACTATGTGGCTTGCTGACCTTGTTGTTTCAGACATTTAAAGCTAAAAATAGGGTTCATTTCCCAGGAACCAGTATGGACGTCCGAGCACGGGTGAACCTCTGCGCCCCACGCCTTCAATATACTGGTGAGAGCCGACCTCGTCCCAATGCCAGCCTAAAGTCGATAAGGTTCGGCTGTGACCAGCAGCACACTCCCAGGCTTTGATGTATTCAGTGCGGGTCATACAGTGCGCAGTCCAGATGAACACGGATGACTCGGGACAACAGCCCCTTTTGTAAACACACTCACAAAGCAGGTCGTGGTAAGCGACGGCGAGGCTTAATCGCTCCGTAGCAGTATTAGGAACGCCTTCACCTTTTAAATCCCTAGGATTCTCAAACGACCCCGCTGTCGTGGATGCTATCTGGCTGGAATCAGCGATCTGACTCGAGCCAGCTATCTGATCTGATCAAAAGCTAGCGGGTCGTCTCACGGGGTGCGGTGTGGATGACACCCAGTTGACGCGGACCCCCTCCCAAACGATCCGTTGCTAGTGTTTCGGTGCCCTTGGCAGGTTGCGGGGACATCGTAACAGATGAATCATGGGCCCCTGAATCAGATAATACCTACGCCACCTACTCGCATTGCCACCTCCTGTGATCAGGGGCTCCCAAGATGGCTACGGGGCTTGCCGGGGCTCTGGGAAAGCCAAGGGAAAGCGAGTGGCAATACGTCACGTATCCCCCATAGCTCAGTGATTTGGGGGTGAGCTCTACCCAGAGAGTCGCCGACACCACGCGCGGCCGTATTTAGTCTCTCCCCCGTGTTGCCAGCTCGGGAGTCTGTGCGAGTCCACTGGGCCGGTTTGGAGAGCGCCGGCTGTTTCCGGCGAGACGTCACCCTCCGACGTCAGCTGATCCTGAAAAACACGCTCCTGGCCCTCTTGCCTTGGTCACGTACCGGTTCCATGGGCGATTGAGCTCATCTCGGCACCCGCCAGCAGCGCTTCAACTACCCCTCAGACGCCGTCCACAGTGCCGTTCATACCCGCCAGGCATTTTCTCCGCATTCGTCGCTCACCTCCACGTCAGTGGTCAAAACACGTTCGAGATCGCCATCTGGTGTATTCCCATGTTTTGTTCCGATCTCCTGGTCACGGCCATGCCGGACCACACGGCTGCCTGACTTACAGCGGCGACCGCGGCCACCAGCAGGCAACAGCGCACAGCTAGGCGACACGGTACGCGGAACGTATTTGTACAGCGTCCACACGACAGTGAGACGCGCTGGGGGAAGGTGCCTCTGGTCAAGGCCCATCAACACGCAAGCATCACCGCGGACTGAAACGCCTCGGATCTTTGACCAATCGGTGACAACCGAGCCCAGGGGTCTTCGATTCATCGGGGCCGCCGTGAGCGCGTCGTCTGATGTGGACGAGGGCCCACATGGCGGAAATCAACGCAACGAATTTATCAGCGCGCTCCACAAATTTCCCCACAATTTTGTTATCAGTGCGGCGACGACAAATTCCATCAGTCTCCGTGCTTGGAACACGGAGTCCGCATCCATATTGCACACATCCACTCCTGCGATTCACATGACGGCGAGATCGATCCTTGCCAACTAGCGCGAGAGTTTAGAAAACAAAGAAATAACATCGGTATATTCTCTATCTGAAAAGCTCAGATATTAAGCTCACGGTACCAGTAACGTTACAATGCTGAACACATATGAGCAACTGCAACAGGCACTCATCCCCGTTGGTTGAGCGATGCTTCTTGAATACCTCTTCTGTCCCGAAACTGGCCGTCCCAGTCGCCGCTGACACGGAGAGCACCCATTTGTACATCCTATACGCGAGATAGTCGTCCCGCGCGGTTTTTGCCTCGACGCAGCACTCCCGCCCAGAACCCAGAAACACCCTGAGACGCACTTGACAACGGCCGACCGAACGAGTCAGTTGCAGATCGAAGGCAGGCAGGGGCGGCTCCAGCGCGGGGGCAGGGGCGGATCCAGTGCGGAGGGCAGGGGAGGCTGGGACGGTCTGGCGCCGACGGGGAGCACACCGACGGCGATGGCAGTATCGCGCAACATCGTCCGTCATTCAGGCCGCGCCCCAGCACGCACTCACGCCACTCATGTCACACACAAACAGCTGCCGACTATGCTAGCGGGACGAGCGCCAGGCTTACCTGCGTTCGGGCGGCGGCGCGCAGCGCAGCGCGGCAGCCGACCTGAAACGGCGCGACCAGTCATCGGCTGTGGACGGGCGAGCGGGACCGGGCCGGGACGGCGGGCGCGGAGGGTTGGGGGGCCGTGCCCGGCAGGACACGCACAGCGGGCAGAATGTGGCTTCCAGACACACTCCCGACAGATCTCTAGAGCTCAGCCACTCGATCGGATTCATTCAGAAGATGAGAGCGTGTCGACAGAGCAAGAGCAGAGTTCAAGGCGCAGCTATTCGAAAAATGCCGTGTCAACCGCTGCGGTAGTTCCCAGCATGTGTCCACCCAACACTGACGGCATGCATCCCTGGCGTATCCAACAATGAGTAGCAACACCAACGTGCTTTCCGTCATGACTACGAGGCCAGTCAACGGCCCGGGCACCATGGGCCAACTGCGGGCGGCGCGCCGCGACCGGCCGGCGGAGGGGGCGCCGCTCGCTGGCCGTCTAGGCCGGCGCTGAGCGGCAGACTGCAGCCGCCGACGCCCGGTGGACGGCCGAGCGCGCGCCGCCGAGCCGCTGCAACAGCACAGAGCGCGATCTGGTCGGCCGGCGGCGGCGCCGTCACAGCAGCCCCGCCGACACGACCCTGCACGGGCCGGGTCAGACCGGGATTACCGAGCCCCGGCTGATTAGTGCGAGGGTCGTCGGCGAGAGGTGCCTCCCCCGAACGGCCGTGGACTAACCGAGATAGTCGCGAGCTCCCTCATGAAACGCCCATCCGCGAAACAATTATCGTTTCCACTTTGAGGATTCTAACCAACCGACCTCCACTATGCAATTCCTGAACAGCCTAAGCACTGAACCAAAGACTGTTCGCTCCCTATGGTGTCTAGATGTCGCCCGCTGCCCAGGGCCGCCTCCCCGCCCCGTCCGGCCCCGGGCGACCGTTGCGACCGCTGCGGCCGGGCTGGGCCGGGCCGGGCCGGGCGCGGCGCTGTCTGAGTACCCGGCCGGCTGGTGGTGGTGGCGGGGCTCGGCCGGCGGCCGCGAGCCCGCCCGCTTGCCGCCCACGTGCTGGAACGCGCACGAGCGGGCGTTGCAGCGGCCCAGCAGGTCGTACTTGCAGAGCACCTGGTGCGGGTTCAGTTGCCTGAGGGCCGGGCACAGACGGGACCGCCGGCGTCAGCAGGGAGACGGAGAGGTGGCGGCACAGGTCCCACACGGCGTGACCAGCAACAGCGGACGCCCGTCCGGTCGGTGCCAGCGGCCGCGTCAAGCCATGAACGCACCATTGACACGGTCAGGGCACGACAACCCGGCTAGTGAGCGAAACCCCGCAAAGTGCCAACAAAGTGTGTCAAGGCAATATGAACTGTCCATCCGTGCTGAAGGTGATTCAATCCTATCGTCGATGCCGACAGAAGAACTCAGGCATTTGAGCAGACACACACAGATCACGCACTGCCGATGCAAAGAACATCAACAAAATTAGAACAATGATACTCCAGTATATCCAGTTCATTACAAAAACAAATATTTTCACTTCTCCCTTAGAACCAGGCGGTTCACAAGCAACAGTGCGCGTCAAAAGCTGGCCCGCGAGTCATAACCACTAAGGGCGCGCGCAGCGCCGCCAGGCTCACCCGAGCGGCTGCCATCCCTCCAGGGGCGACTGGTAGGGCCGGTAGCGGACGGCCGGCAGTGGCGTCACGCTGTCGGCGCGCGTCTCGCGCAGCAGCGCGCTGAACTGGCCGAGCACGGCCGGCCAGCGCACGGCGCTGACCTCGGCGGGCCGGCACCGTCTGCGCCGGCGGCGGCGGCGACTCGGCCGGCGCGCGGCCCGACAGCGGCTCCCTGAAGCGGGCCGAGCTGCGTCGCGCCCAGAGGCGCGACACCTCCTCGGCCGCCTCGTCGGCGACGGCCGGCGGCGCCGGCTCGTCGGCGGCGCAGCCGGCCGTCCGCGCCCGCCGCTCCGGCCGCCGCGGCGACGCCGGCGGCTTCACCACCACAGACTGCACCGTCGGCATGACGTGCGCTGGGTGTGACGCAGACTTGACCGCGGGCATCGGCTGGGCTGGCGGTTGGCCGCGGGTGTCGGCTGCGGCGTCGACTTGACGGCGGCGAGCGGCGCAGCTGCCGACTCCGGCCGCTTCCCATCTGCCGCTGCACAGCCAGCAGGCTCCGTCCTCGCAGCGGCCGCCGGCAGCGTGGTCGGCCGAGTCGAGACCGACGGCTGGGCCGTCGTCATTCCAGCCGTGACCGGCGGCGTAGCTGGCGGCGCGGGCCGTCGTCTCTGCGCGCTCCTCACGACAGACAGCGGCCGGCTGAACGGCGCCCGCCGCCGGCGCTGGGCCCTGCTCCGGCTCTTCGTCGGACGACTCCTGCAGCACGTCCACCGGCAGCCGGTACTCCTCGCCGTACAGGGCTCGGCCCATTCGTCCGCAGACAGCCTCCAGCTGGCGACGCTGGCGCCGCGCCGGCCGCAGCCGGCCCCTCACCAGCTGCTGCTGGCTGACGAGCCGTTCACAGAGGGCACCACGCTCGGCCAACTGCCGCTCGGCTGCCGCCAGCTCCTGGCACAGGCGCGCCACAGTAGCCGCCGAGTCCGACTCGCCGGTGCGCTCCGCACGCAACTTCGACTGTAGCGCCAGCAACAACTGGCTCTCCTCCTGCATCGACGCCCTGTCGGAGGCCTGGGAACTGAGCTATACGGCATCGGCGCTGTTGAAACAGTCGAATGGCAGCGCCGTCGTTGAACTATCATTCCTTCTTCGCTGAAATATTCCTCTCTGGCGTCCCCCAGGCTCCGGTGTTTGGCGCACTCCTAACCACCGACATGTTTGGTGTTCCCTGGTCACACGATTGCTTTCATATGACTAGCATTCCCGGTGCGCTCCCCACGGGGTGAGTAGTTGGTGCACCTTCAGTTCACTGGACGCGGCATTGGGTGTTCCAGGAATGGTCGGGCACAAATACAGGCAACTGGCCCTCAGTGGGGGAAATGCAATCACCCGAACGTGATCTTATCGTCGTTAGTTTATGGTGATGCGAAGCTAGTGCGCTGCACGAGTTCTTGTCGACTCGTTGACATGAATAAGGACACTCAGCCGCCGTTACTTCGCGGAAAATTGCCGCGATGTGGCAGCGGTGTAATACCAAACACGGACACTTACTGGCGGATGTCCTAGCACCCGACAATTGCAGGGGAAGCCACGCAAGGCCTAATCAGGAACACCATGCACGATTCATCGCAACACACCCCGATAATTATCAGAGACGGTCCAGAGGACTTATCCTGTACATAGCGGCGCCTGCAATTGGCAATATGCAGCATCAATTCAACATACGCCCGGTGCTACGTAAGCTCTGATTTATCAGTCGGGTTGCAAGCGCTTCCACACTCACCAGGCGCTGCGGAGCTTTTTCTCAGACGTCTGTAGCTGCTGCGTCATCAGCGTCCGCTTCATCCTGTCCAAGTCGTCGTCGGTGGCGTCCGGCGACAGCACGGTCTCGCGCCGCGCGGCCCCCGCCGGCATCGGCGGCGTCGTCTCGCGCTCACCCGTGATGGAACACTGCTCCCGGCCAGCCGGTGGCTGCTCGCCGGCCGGCTCGTACTCGATTGAGCAGCCCTGGTGCCTGCCGTCCAGCTGGAGCGTGATACAGAGCGACGGCAGGCCGCTCATGAGACCGGAGCGGCCGGCCGGCGGCCTCGCCTGGGGCCGCGCCGGCCGGCCGGCCGCCTCTGCCGCGGCCTCGCTGCTGACCTCCGCCGCCACGATCGCGTCACAGGCCTCGACGGTCGGCCCAGCGGCCCCTGGCCTTGGCCGCAGCTGAGGGCCGCGCCTCAGCCACGCCGGTGCCATCCAGTGAGTCCGCCCCTCCAGGGAGGCAGGCGGCATCTGGGACAGTCCCTGGCCGGGGAGGGGCGACAGCGCCGGACGGCAGCGCGCTCTGGCCCGCTGTTGGCGCAGCGGCCGACTTCGAACGCAGGCCGCTGGCGTCTTCACTCGCCAGGACCAGCCTGTGCGCCACGACGGAGCACTCAGTCACGTCGAACCGTCTCCCCAGCGCGTCATCGCTGTCTGGGACGGGCTCTGAGGCGGTCTCCTGAACCGACTGCTCCACTGTGTCTGGCGCCGACTGCGTACTAGCCTGTACGGCGGACTGTTCCGCACCACTGCCGCGGACGTCGCAACCGGAAGACATCGCGTCATCTTCGGCTCCCATCATGATGTCTTTTGCAGAGATGTCCATGCTGTTGTCCGATGACAGTATCTTGCTGGCAAGATGACTCGCGACGTCGGAGTGATCCATACTTTCCACGCACGACATATTTGCTGGATCCACGGGACTAGCTTCACTCAGTGAAAGTTCCCTCAAAGTATCAACGGCACCAAACACGTTCTTGGCGCCAATGCCTCTGACGCAGCCACTCAAAAAGTGACGGAAGTCCGTCTCCGCGCTGACCGTGTCATCTGTTTTTCTCAGCACTTCAAAACGAAAAGGGCTGCTGGCAAAACTAAGTGGCTTTCGTGCTCCTTTACCAAAAAGAGCCGTCCAGGGCTCGGGACTCCTGCCCTCGTCGTCGCTTAAGTAGAAAATGCTCTTCTTGTGGGTTTGGTGCGGTGCGTCTGCTGCGGGACTAACCGAGGCCGGCGCCACGCAGCTGGTCGCTTCCGTGGCATCGGCCAGCCCCGACACGGGCGGCACCGTCCCCGAGCTGACCGGCACCGCCACCGGCGCGGCCGCCCCTTCGCCCGGGCGCTGACAGTCAGCCACGGCCAGAGGTGGCGCGGCCTCCGGTGCAGGCGGCGCCGGAGGGCGGAAGCCGGTGCCGTCGGGCGGCACGTCGCAGGGTCGCGGCAGTCTGCCGTCCGGACCGGCGGCGGCCGTCGGCGCCGGCTGCGCATGCTCAGACTGGGCGTCGCCCTCCTGCGCCGGCTGCTGCTCCCGGCCCGCCCAGTTTGACTGAGGTGTCTCTGCGGCTGGAGCAGCGGCGCTGAGCGAGGCGACCGCGCGCTCCGAGCCGGCTAAGCTCGCGCCGGCCTCGACTGGCTTCAATTGTGCGGTGGGAGGCGGCGCCGTCGGCAAGGCGGCAGGACCCCCGGGACGGACTCTGTGCGGCGGGTCAGGCGGCGCGGACTGTGCCGCTGTCTCGGTGGGCGGCGCCGCGGTCTGAACAGGGGGCACAGGGGCCCGCGCGGGTGATACTGCGGTCTGGGCAGACAAAACCGAGGTCTGGGCGGGCGGGACCAGGGTCTGGGCGGGCGGTTCCGCGGCCTGGGCAGACGAAACCGAGGTCTGGGCGGGCGGGACCAGGGTCTGGGCGGGTGGTACCGCGGCCTGGGCAGACAAAATCGGGGGCTGTGCGGACAGTACCGGGGTCTGGGTAGGCTGCACCGGGTCTGGTACCGTTTCTGGCCGCACCACACCCGCTTCAGGCTGTGCGGGGGCCGATTTGGGTCGCGGCACAGCCGACTGGGGCTGCATAATAACCGACCTAGGTAGGAAGACCACCGGTCTCGGTTTGGCCGAGGGACGCTCGGACCCGGTCACTGCGGGCGCAGGACGCCCCTGGCCCGACCGAGGCTCACCCACGCACAGCACATTTGCTGAGTCCAGGGGGCTAGAACCCCTCGGCAAAGGCTTGTTCGGCGCTTCAGTGGCACCAAACGGCTTCTTAGTACCAATCTGCTCCGGCCGGCCATTCAAAAGGTGGCGGCAGTCAGTTTTTGACTGCGTCACGACCGTATCGGGCTGTGCCACGGCTGGTTTGCCTTCGACTCCGACTGGATGGAGCTGCCCCGGTGCCTGTCCAAGCCGCGACACATCCTGCGCCGGCGCGACAACGGGGAGACTCGGCAACCCCACGGCCGATTTAGGATGAAGCAAGGACTCGTTCACTTTTACCACGGCCGGCTTAGGATCAACCACGGCCTGATCATGCTGAAAGGCGGCCTGCTCAGGTTGTACCGCAGTCGGCTTAGCTTGAACCGCAGCTGACTTAGGATGAACAGCAGTCTGCATAGTTTGTTGTACCATGGTCGACTTGGGATGAACCGCAGTCTGCATAGGTTGTGCCGCATTTGACCTAGGTTGCGCCACAGCTCGCTTGGGTTGCGCCACAACCGGCTTGGGTTGCGCCACAACTGGCTTAGGTTGCGCCATAACTGGCCTAGATTGCGCTGTAACAGGCTTAGGTTGAGCCTGGCTAGGCTGTTCCGCAGCGCGCTCGGGTTGCGCCACGAGCTTATGCTGCATCACGGTCTGCTCATTTGGTACCTGAGTACGGCTCGACCGGCCCTGGAGCGCCACCGGCGCGGTACACACAGTCACCGGACCGACCTGTGCCGCCGCCAGTGCCGTCTCGGTCCGGGCTGGCCCGGGCCGCGGAGGATCCGGTCCGGCCGCCACCCCGCCCTGCCGCTGCCCGCCGCCGGCCACCACCGGCTCGGCCGCGCCGGCCGGCTGCCGCGCCTTCTTCTCAGCCAGTTTCTGTCGCTCCTTCTCGCGGATCAGCTCCTTCAGATATATGTACTCGTCCAGCTGGTGCTTCGGCAAGAGCTTCGCCAGGTCCTGAAACGGGACAAAGTCATCGGGGAGTTCACTCGAGAGGGTTGACCCGGCCCCAGACCGACACGAGCCGAGTAGGAATAGGCAGACCCCAACACAGGCTGCAGAACAGACCATGCGCCAAATAAACCCCTATAGCGTCCCGTGTCCTAGATAGCTCATGCGTAATACACCACGATAAAACAACGCTGATCACCACTGATCCCTGATCAGCCGCAACCAAACACCCACGCTGGCCACCCTACCAGTGCATTCACCATTCGAACAAGATATCCGTAGCCGCTAGCAACCTCCCCTAGGCACCATAGCATCTGGCGCCACGCACATCCTGGACAAGCTGGATCGCCTTCGCAAGAGAGTCGCGCTGGCGCCGCCCTCCAGGGAAGGTGGCGCCACGCATCACCTCAGCAGGGCCGCCGGTCAGCGCTCGCCGCGCTCGTCACCATCCGGGTCGTACCTTGGGCGTGCTGGCCGCGGCCGGGCGGGCCGACGGCCTGCGCCGGCTGGGCGCGGTCGGCGCCGCGTCTGTCGGCCGGCTGGTGCGCTCGCGCGCCTGCTGCAGGAAGCGGTCTAACTCGCCCTGGAAGTCGCCGGCGGTCGGCGGCTCGCAGTCGGAGCCGGCCGCGTCCGAGTCGTCAGAGTCCGACTGCAGGCTGATGATGAATCTCTTGGCGGCCGGCTGGTCGGCAGCGACCGCCGCCGCCGGACGCCGTCTTCCCTGCGGCGCGGCGGCGGCGGCGGTCTTGCGAGGGCCAGGCGCCGCCGGCGCCGCAGACCGCGGCTTGGCCGGCTGCGCGGCCGCGGCGCCGGTCTTCTGGCGGGCGGACGCCGCCGAGGCCGGTCTCCGGGCGGCCGGCGCCGCCGCCGTGGCGGCAGCGGGGGCCGCGCGCCCCTGCGTACCAGCCATGGAGATGAGCAGCTGCGCGCGCAGCACGTCCTCGTCCTCCTCCTCGTCACCGGGCGCCGACAGGGTGCGCGAGCGGCGCCGCGAGCGCCGGCGGGGACGGACACGCGCCTCGGTCGCCGGGGCCTCTGTTGACCCGATGTCGACGGCTGCCGCGGCGGTGACTGACAGAGCAGCCGCCGCCGTGGCCGCGGAAGCCAGCGGCGGTGCAATCTCCGGGGGTGGCGGTGGAGGCGGCGGCGGGGTCACTGGCGGCGGGGGTGGCGGCGGTGGCGGCGGCGGCGGTGGAGGGTACGTCAGCAGCACAGGCAGGGGGACTACAAGCGACGACAGCGAAGGCGGCGGTGGAGGCGGCGGGGGAGGAGGCTGCAGAACGAGCTGTTTCTCCACCTCGGACAGAAAGCTGCACTTCCGGCGCTTGGGACCCGTGCGAGGCGCACTCACTGCCTCCATGAAGGCCTCGAACTGTTCGGCGTATGAGCTTTTGGTGAATACTTCAGACATAGAGGAGACAGCTTGTTTCTGGTGAGCCCCAACAAAATACTTCAAGGGATCACTTTCAAACATGGCCCTATTAAAGTCATCTCTTTTTGATAATTGTCTTTCCATTTCGTTCAACATACTACCTGAGACCCTACGCAGTCTGCTGTCCTTCCTCCGTAAGCGTGCTTCCCGGCTCGCCTTCTTGGTGACAGCGTTCCCTGGAGGTGGTTTCTCCTTGGAGGTACTATCCCTTCTCCTTTTGGGCACCTTTTCTCCGGACGAAACGGCACCAGTCCTGGCGCGGGGCAAAACGACCTCCTTCGGAGGCAAGCCGCCCCTGGCTTCAACAATCGTTCCGCTCTGTACGGCCCCCTTCGACGCGGGCGCCTCTGCCGCGGCTCCCTCCTTATCTTCATCACTTCCAGCGGCTGCTGCTTCCGCTTCCTCCTCCTCCTCGCGAACCCGATCGAAGACGCTGCGCAGCGCCAGCAGCCGCAGCTCCAGCTCCGTCTCGTCCGGCCCGTCTTCCTCTTCGCCGTCCTCCTCCATCGCGACGTCCTCGGTGTCGGCCGTCGCCTGCTGAGCGCGCCCGCCGGCCGCTGCGGGCGGCGCGGCCGGCTCGTCGCCGTCGGTCACACGCGCCGCCGGCTCTCGGTCCGGAACGGCCTCTGCGGCTCCCACCGGCCGCCCGTCCAGCGGGCGCTCCTCCCCGCTGGCCGGCGGCGGCCGCTCTGCCGCTCCCTCCGCCGGCGGCGGCCGCTCTGCCGTCCCCTCGGCCGGCGGCAGCTCTTCGTCCCCGTCCAGCACGATGAGCGGCGGCGACGCCTTCTTCGGTGGCGCGATCTCTATGATCTCGGGCTCGTCGTGCGGCCGCGGCGATTCGTGCGCCGCCACGGGTTCCGGTCCCGCCCCCAGCTTGGCCAGCTTGGCGCGCAAGCACAGGTCCCCCAGACTCTGCGGCGGCGGACTGGGCGGCGCGGCAGGCGCGACCGGCGGGCGAGGCGGCGGTGGCGGCCGTGACGACGGCGGCGGCGGCGGCACCGGCGGCAGCGGTAGCGGCGGCGGCGCAGACGCCGGCGGAGATGGACGCCGCTTCAGCGGGGCCGGAGGTGGCGGTGAGCGGCGGCGCCGGCCGGGCCGGTGCGGCGAGCGGCGCGCGCGGCCGTGGTCGTGCCGGGACGACGGGTGGCGCCGCTGGCTGCGCCGGCAGTGGCGGCCGCCCTCCGAGCCAGAGTCGCTCGAGTTGTCTTTGCCTGCAGCGCCGGCCAGCGGGCACAGCGTCACACACCGGCCCGGCGACCACGACAGTGCGGGACGTCACTTCTCACAAGTGAATATCGGTCATTCTGCTGGGCTCATGCCGGGTCAGATCCGATCAGGAACGGCTGACCCGACTACGGCCAGCCCACCGCGCTGACGTCGGTACATATCAATAGGCCATATATATATATATATATATATATATTACATATATGTATATATACGTAGACAGACAGATAGATAGACATATAGGCCATACAGCACGGCCAGTGCGTATTATACAAGGCCAAATTTACCAGTTGCTTTGGCGAATGCGAGGTTGAGTGACAGGTGCATCTCTCCCAGTCTCGAGCCATGTCTGCCGCTAACTACCTCGTGGGACGGACTCCCACCCTCCCGGCTGGCATACCACAGCTCCGCAGCCGGGCGGCCACTCACCTGAGTGGGAGGACCTCCTGTGTCGGTGGCGGCGGGGCGCCTTGTCGTGCGACGGCCGGCCCGTGGCGCGTGTCCTGCGGGCGGACGCCGCGGCCGGCGAGCGCGCCCGGCCACCGCCAGGCTGGCCCACCTGGTCTAGCACGTGCCAGTCTCCGTCCGGGATCTCGCCCTCCTCCAATTCGTCGCCGGACCAGTCGTCCCCCTCCGAGATGGCTTCTACGCCGGTCGCCATCTCTCTGGACAGCAGGCGTGGTCAACGGCGGTGGTCGGAGAGCGGGGAAATGTCAGCACAGCGGGTCATAGGGCGAGGCAAGGTCGGTACAGCGGGCCAGAGGGTGAGGCAAGGTCGGTACAGCGGGTCAGAGGGTGAGGCAAGGTTGGCACAGCGGGTCAGAGGGCGAGGCAAGGTCGGTACAGCGGGTCAGAGGGTGAGGCAAGGTCGGTACAGCGGGTCAGAAGGTGAGGCAAGGTCGCCACAGCGGGTCAGGGGGTGAGGCATAGTCGGCACAGCAGGTCAGAGGGTGAGGTAAGGTCAGCAAAGTGAGTCAGTGTTCGTGTTCACAACGTGTTCAGTCAACATGATACATCTCATACAATACCCATGGTCATAAACAAGTGAACACCGTCGAGGGGCCAGCCAAACAGAGTGAACACCGTTGAGGAGCTCGTAAAATAAAGATGCTAGTCACCAGAGACTGCGCAACTCTCTTAACAGGAGCCCGAACTACAATAATATCGTCACAGAAGTAGTGAAATAAACACACGGAGACATTTCGTTTTCTACCCCAAGCGTATACGAGACGCGCTCCTACAACACAAGCGCATCTGCACTCACCACAGGCTTGCCTGCCCGCACACGTGGTCAGACACAATATCAATGCCACCACATTCAGGGACACAGAGCCAAAGACAACAGCGCAGCAGAAGAAGACGACAAATAAAACCTTGACTAGCTAGCGCAAGTCTGACTGGGCAAGGACTTGCATGTTTCCCGGACCCTCGCGGCTGGTTCAGGGGACCAGTAATCAGTTAGGTCCGATCTAGGAGTGCCAAAACAAATCTATAGTGGCCTTTCTCATATCAAAATAAAAAACAAACTAGGTTGGTGACGGTCAAAGGCAGTGGTCACGGCCTGGGCAACGAATACTAATTTGACGTGCCATGGTCTTTATTTCGGTATGCTTCTTTTTGGTTCGAATAAACAAGATTCCTACTCAGAAAGATGCATATGAACTGATTTAGTCCCAAAGCACCCTAATTATGAATATGGCACAATCAATTTTGTTTTAAGTATCACCGTATGCCGTCTACTGTGCCACATCAGGTGATTGATTAAGTCCCAACAAAGGGTAATCCAATACCAGCGATGTGATAAAATTCGGTCATTGGGTGGCGGAGATGCCGGTATTTCTTCATACTATCGCATTCCGGCTCGGGGTTCACTGCCGGTTACTCCTCTCCTCGCTAAAACGGGCCAATAAGTATCGATCCTCGACACCACATCTAGGCGCCTCTGGCTTGGCAAACCGGGCGGACGGTCAGATGTCAGGATTCATGGTCAAAGGACAGCACATTAGCGACTAACGAAGTGCTGCGTGTGCCGAAACCGTCAGAGCCAACATTCTAGTATCATGAATTTATATCTACATGGTATCCGTGCTCCTGCCAGCGGGCTAGCCAGCCTTTGCGGCAAGCCAGCTAGCTCGTCAACACGATAAGTCTCTTGTCTGGCGTAATTCCTGGTGGCACCTGCTTTCGACATCACAGCTTACTTACTCCCGCCATTTCAGGCCGTGTCTAAAGAACCAAACCGACGACCCGCGGTCTGCAAAGTCTTCCGTGCTGGACAGCTACCGAGGAAGGTCACTGCCTGCTTCCACATGCCCACAGGTATCGTCTGCGTCATTGCCGAGAGGTACTATGGCTGGGTGGAAAGCACAGAATTACCAGCTGAGGAGGAATACATCGCCATTGCAAGAAACAAACCTAAAAGAGCTCACCAGAAGACCTTCTTCTGGGTTTGACAAACAACTACAGTAACAAATCACTGCAGGTTCCAGGAAGTTCACGGAACAACCTTGAAGCTGCATGTCTCTGAGTTCCCCACCACAAAGGCCATCCATGGAGATATTCACTACCTGTCATATACCTGCAGGATCTGGCAACTCCTCACAGATGTGATGAAGGCAATGGGGACTCAGCATTGGCAGCGAGCTATTCAACTTTCTGGAACATCAATCTGCAAGGAAAACCAGGATCTGCTGTGATCAAAAGTTTTCTATTGACAGGACCGACTAGAAGGTAAACAGGGCAGCAGGCACCTCTGCTAGTTTCCAGATGTGGTCACTGACTCCCCATTTCTGTGATCGTCCTGAGCACCCTCATCAGCAAATGTGATGTCATGCTGCCTTCCTTTCTTGGAGACAAGGCCTACAAGCAATGGACAGCTCAGCAGCAGTGATGCAGTGGACCAGACCAGGCAGGTGGTGAGACAATGAACCAGACCAGCCAGGTGGTGAGACAATGGACCACACCAGCCAGGTAGTGAAACAGTGTACCAGACCAGTCAGGTAATGATACAATGGAACAGACCAGCCAGGTGTCAAGCCA